TGAGAGAGAGAGAGAGAGAGAGAGAGAGAGAGAGAGAGAGAGAGCGATGGCGATGTTCCAGCTGGTATTTTTTGAACAACCTGTATGGCTGTGGTTGTGACGGTCAGACCGTGTCTGTCCTCTAACTCAGCCTACCCCTGCAGCGCACGTACACACACACATAGCACACACACATCCTCAAAAAATGTCCAATGACATGTAGTCTCACTTCCCTATTCACCTATGAACATTCCTTACACCATACCAACACACAAACATTGATTGATTGAAACATTTGTCACTGACAAAGGAAGTCATTTTTTCTTTACTCTAATACAGTACCTTGTTTCATTTATCAAATTGATAAATTGAAAGTCTGAAATGGATACTCATATAGCATAGGTTAATTGAGGATTTAGACAGCCTCATGTGCGTTAGAAGCCAAAGCAAAATAAACTGCCCTTTTCCACTTTTAAACCCATTAATTGTGTGTACATTCCATGCAGGACCAGAGATGGGTGTGATTAGAACTTGGACCTGCTCCATCACATGGATCGTTCATTCTCTGTCCTCATATCGGTACCCTGTTGGTATGTTGCTGACTTCATACACACACAGCCTACTGGGCTTTGGAGAGGTATAGGCTATACATCACTGCTGTACATCTCTATAAGTATCTCTCTCTCCCTCCCTCCCTCCCTCCCTCCCTCCCTCCCTCCCTCCCTCCCTCCCTCCCTCCCTCCCTCCCTCCTCTCTCTCTCTCTCTCTCTCTCTCTCTCACTCTCTCTCTTCCACCCTTTCTTTTGACCAATCAGATCAGCTCTTTTGACAATAATTGGGCAAAAGATCAGAATTGGGCTGCATGTGTAAACGCAGCCTATCTCTCCCTCTCTCTCTGCATGTGCCATACTCTCTCTGTGTACATGAATAAAACATGAAGTGTAGTGTAACTCCCATCCTGGGCGTTCTGTAGATCTCTGTCCCTCTGCCACGCCCTATTAGCTCCAATCATTAGCAGATCAATCACCCCAATACTTCTATTGATTACCTATATATCCAATGCCGTCTCTTCTGCCTACCTTTCCCCTCCTAACCAGAGGGATTCAGATATTCTCATAGTGCTTTGCCTGTGCTATATTTGAATGAATGTAGTCACTCATGCATCAAATATGATACAGGACTGCGCAGAGACATGCATTATAGAATATGAGGGGGCACTGAGTTTGTGAGATCTTGTTTGGCTTCAAGATGCTTCGTAACATACCTTTATTGGTAGGAACAGATTCATTCATAAAATAAGTGATGATAGCAGATTAGACTTTAATCTAAGTGGATCTATATCAGGTCTCCTCCCTGTTTTAAGCTGAGTCTGCAGTGATGGTGGCCAGGGGAAAGTAGGGGATGCGAAGAGGAGAGGAGTGCTCTGCAGGCTGGGCTGGGGAGCTTGCTCTCTGTTCACAGCCTGCTTCTGCTGCAGTGCCACTTGAAAGTGCTCCAAGCCTTCTGCAGTGCGTGTGAGCAACAACCCTTTCTCTAGCCCCTCCATGCATCACATCACACCACCCCTAGCTGTGCCAGACAAAAGCACCTTGAAGGCTGAGTGGCTGGCCTATTGTACCTGTGTGGTGATTTCCATGTTTAAAAGGCTGAGGCCAGCAGGAAAGCAGAGAGAGAAAGAGGCAACAGAGGCCAGTGGTCTAGCTCTAGGACAGGAGAAAGTGAGTATAGGGCTGTATCCCACCGGGTTTTATTTGTTTTTGGGAGAAATGGCAACCCCTTTCCCAAACCCTTTTAATTTTTTCAAAAAAGGGGAAAAAATTTTTTTTTTTTTCCCCCCTCTTTTCCCCCTCCCCCCCAAAACCCCCTTTTTAATTTCCCCCCCCCTTTTTTTTTCTCTTTTTTCCCCCTTTTTTCCCCTTTTTGAATGCATTTTTTTTAAATAAGGGAAAAAAATCGTTGGGCCTTTAAAAAGCAGCCCCCCTTTTCCCCGGGACCCCGGAATGTTAAAAGGGGTGATTTGTCCTTTCCCCCGGGGTTTTTTGTCCCCCCCCCCCCAAACTTGAAATTTCCCCCCCCCAAAACTTTTTTTTCCTTTTTATAAACCCCCCCTTTCTCCCACCCCCCTAACGAGGGTGGATTTAATTGTGGGGTTATTAAAAAAGCACCACAAAAAAAGGCACCCTTTTGTAGGGGGGGCAGATTTTGTAGTTTGTTTCCAAGATCTTTAAAAACCCTTTAGGTAGGAAAGTTTATTTAAAAAGTGTAAGGAAAATTTCTGGGATTCTTTCTCCCTCCCTGTTTTTTCTCTTTTTTTGGGGGGGGGGGGGGGGGCCCTCTCCCTCTTCTCTCTTCACCCTTTTCCCCTCATCCCTTTTCCCCCTTCCCCCTTTTTGGCCAAAAACCTTTCCCTCCCCTCCATCATCCCCCCCCCTCTGTGCCAGCCCCCTTGGCTTGGTGGCCAGAGGGGGAAGAAAAAGGGGGCCCACGGAAAGCGGGGGGGGAAAAAAGGGCCTGGTCTGCTCTAAAAAATTTTGGGGGGCGTTCCAAAAAAAAGCCCCCCCCAAAAAAAAAGGGGGAAAAAAATTTTTTTTTTTTTTTTTTTTTTTTTTTTTTCCCCCCCCCCCCCCAAAGCCCCCGAGGGGAAGGGCAAAAAAAAAAAGGGGGGGTTTTTTTTAAAAAACTTTTTTTTTTTTCCCCCAAAAAGAACCCCCCCGGAGAGACCCGCCAACTATCGTTTTAGAGGCGCGTATAGATCTTCGTGACTATCGCAACTCTATAATCGATAAAGATCTACTTCGCTGACTCTCTATCGAGCGTATATAATATATATCTCCTAGTCTATCTCTCTGTTGCTCTATCTCTCTCTCTCGCTCTCTCTCGCCGCGATCTCTAGACTCTCTCTGGGACAAACACATCTAGAAAATGGCTGACGGCGTCTCAAACGCATTAGGGCTCGCGCCAGCAGAGCTAAACCTGTTGACAATGGAAAAACATGAGTGCTCTGATATAACAGTAATACAGACATGATTTAAGTCATAAGCTCTCAAGATGGGAATAACTTATTCTCCCCTCTTATGCCTGTGGTATTAAACAAGGGCTTTTAAAGGTGACTGGAGAATCTGAATCAATCCTGACAAACACAATTTAAATCTTATATTAATGTTCTGGAAGGCAAAAATAGCCTTGCTGTTTGTCAAAAATAGTTTTGCTGGTTTTCATAGGATGAGAAAAAATAAGAAACCCGCACACTGCTCTTGCTAGTATCAATGCTCTTTATTAAGCTTTACGTATTGGCCTCAAGGCCTTCGTCAGAGTTTTTTTTTTTTTCAAGATACATAAATCTTAATAAAGAGCAGTGATACTAGCAAGAGTAGTGTGCGGGTTTCTTATTTTTTCTGATGTTATTCCAGTTTTACCATGCACCTGCAACAAAGATAGCTCAGATATGCGAGTGCCTTTTGAATCACTGGTTTTCATACGATGAAATATTGGCATTAAAGGCGGTCAATTGGCTAAAACCTGAGGCAGCCATTTCGTTGCATTACCTGCAGCAGTTGCAGCTACAGGGTTTGCAATGACCTTAGTTATCTCTGAAAGGGGTAGAGCAGGACTGAATGGGAATCAATAAGACTGACAACAGACTGCAGCCAATCAGATCTGGCAGCCAACACTGCGGCTTCACTCCTTAGAGAAAACATCTCAATGCAGGGAGGAGATAGCAGCCTCTCTATCCCATGTGCTCTCATCCACAACCCAAAGACTGCAACTTATGCATTGTATGCACAAGTTCAGGCTCTGATCAGACCCTACACCCAAATGAGGGCACTACGTTCATCCACCTCTGGCCTGCTAGCTCCCCTACCTCTACTGAAGCACAGTTCCCGCTCAGCCCAGTCAAAGCTATTTGCTGCTCCGGCACCCCAATGGTGGAACAAGCTCCCCCACGACGCCAGGACAGCGGAGTCACTGACCACCTTCCGGAGACACTTGAAACCCTACCTCTTTAAGGAATACCTGGAATAGTATAAAGCAATCCTCCGGAAGGTGGTCAGTGAAAATGCCAAGTGGGGTGAATACTTTCGCAAGCCACTGTAGATGCATCATGTTGATTGAACCAACCCCCTCATGGTAGTCTCACCTTATATGTCATCTATAGGTCACTGATGGTAATCCCTTTGATCTCGGGAGGTTTCCTGTCAAGAAGTAATCAATCACCTATTATTGAAGACTTATTAGCACAAGCAAAACATCAATATAGGAAATTAGTTCAGCTTTACACATGTTCATAGGCAAGTATAAAATATTCATTCAATTATTTTAATGATCAGTCATTCTCAAATAAGTTCAATTTGAGAGAAAAGTTTTAAACACTTTTCAAACATTTGAAAAGGAGGGGAATGGTGTTTTGCTGTTTAAGTCGCTGACCATGGTGCTGATATTGTTTTCGCTCTAAATTGCATCGGTACATTGATCATTTCTGGGATAACCTTTTTTGCTGACTAACAATAGGGGAAAAAAGAATTAACATGGGACATTGAACTGCTCCATAAGTCACATTTCCATACATAGTAATGCTGCACTTTGGCTGGTTGAATTAGCAAATGCAGAAATGCGTGTATAATTTTCTCTCTCATTCTAATGTTCAATATTTGGAGAAAAATCTATATTCCCTCTGTGACAAGAGCCAAATGACAAAGACATCAAAGTCAACAAGACATAGGCTATCCCAATGAATGGTTTAGCATCTGCATGGTTATGTATAAAATATTTTGGAAACATCCTAATGATAATCACCTATTTCCTTTCTTCTCCCTATGTGTCATCATTCCTCTGCTTTTCAAACGGCCACCCACGAACCCTCACACACCCTAGTGGTGTTTCACTTACAGAGAGTCTGAAGGGTTGAGACATGGCCCTCCCCCTCCGTTCGATCAATGGGCCAGTAAAAACAGTCTCTGCCTTGTTAGCGATAGCGCCTCTCCTATATAAAGGACAGCCGGTGAGGCTGAGAATGCTGTGAGCGCCATCCACCCCGCACCTGCATACCAACACACACTCGCCCCACTCCTCCACCGCGCACACCTTCCCTTCCATCTGAACACGCACCCCCTGGTCTGGCCGGATGAGTTACCACCCGGTGGACACGATAGGGAGTCCATTCAGGAGAAGTATGGATAGTAGGACCACCTACGGCCGCTCCACTGGCACCCCCTCCAGTGGGTTCCGTTCTCAGTCCTGGTCCCGGTCAAGCCCAGGCTCCACGATGACCTCCTCCTACAAGAGGAGCGTCAATATGCCGGTATCCAGAGCGTACAGCTCCACACTCCTCAGCTCCGCCGACAGCGTTGATTTCAGTAAAACGAACGGAGACTACAAGCGCTCCAATGAGAAAGAGCAGCTCCAGGGGCTCAACGACCGCTTTGCCGGCTACATCGACAAGGTGCACTACTTGGAGCAGCAGAACAGCCAGATCGAAGAGGAGATCCAGACGCTGCGGCAGAAGCAGGTGTCGCAGTCCCAGCTAGGCGACTTATATGACCAGGAACTCCAGGAGCTCCGCTCCATGCTGGAGCAGATCCACCACGATAAGGCGCAGATCCAGCTCGACACGGACCACATCGAGGATGACATCCAGAGAATTAGGGACCGCTTCGATGAGGAAGCCCGCATCAGGGATGAGACGGAAGGCATCATCCGGGCGCTGAAAAAAGATATGACCGACTCTGAGTTGATGAAGTCAGAGATGGAGAAGAAAGTTCAGTCACTGCATGATGAGATTGCCTTTATCCGCAACAACCATGAGGAAGAGGTGAGCGACCTGTTCGCCCAGGTGCAGGCGTCGCAGGTAACCATGGAGAGGAAAGACATCCAGAAGACGGACATCACCGAGGCGCTCCGGGAGATCCGCACCCAGCTCGAGGGCCACTCCAACCAGAACCTGCAGCAGGTGGAGGACTGGTTCATGTGCCGCTATTCCAAGCTCACTGATGCTGCGGAACAAAACAAAGATGCAATCAAGTCCGCCCGTGATGAGATAGCAGACTACCGCCGCCAGCTCCAGTCCAAGACCGTGGAGTTAGAGTCAGTCCGTGGAACCAGGGAGTCACTGGAGAGGCAGTTGAATGACATCGAGGACCGACACAACAGCGACTTGTCCAGCCTGCAGGTATAATGAGACTCGCTGTAGGCATTATTTTCATACAGAAACCCCCAGCCTCAGGCTTAATGGTGAAGTGTTCTATAAAGTTGTATTCTTTGTGTAAATAGAGAAGCAATGTAGTGGAGAGAGTAAATTATATAATAAGATATGTTTTTCGTGTATATCAAATTGAGAATATTATCACGACACCTTTGAGGTTTTTATTCTTATTTTAAATGTAGGTCTACTTATAAGGATAGTTCCTCTACTTTGATAGAGAGAAAGACACAAACGTACATTGTGTCCCCACATATTGTATTAGTTTGATTTTGAACTAACTAAATTGTTTTTATTATGTAGGCCCTGAATAGATGTATTTTCACTAGGCTATAAACTCTGCGCATTGGTGGTGTCTGCGCATTTGCTTCAGATAGCATAAATGGCACAATGCTGACATCTTATGGGCACAGCTTTAACATCTCCAAATGTTGGAGCATTAGGCTATGCATAAACTGCAACACGTGGTGCACGTCAGGACATTATAGAGTTAAGGGAATACACAATGCAGCAGACCGTTTTTTGTTATTTTTTCGTTGCTGAGCCAGAGAAGCGGGGCCCTTGAAACACAATGCTGTTCACTGCGTCAGTATACATTATTTCACACAACAACAGTCCAACATATCCAATTATTTGTACTTTTACTTTTCATAAATGAGACAGGATGACTTCACACTTTCAATTATTATTGCAACGATATTTTATTGGAATCTCAAAATGCTGTTTCAAATGTAGGCCTATACAAGTTTAAATGTGCTTGTGAAGTAATTACCAGGAACAAAATATGACATTGTATTGTTGATAGTTTTCATATGATGTTTAGAAAGCTGTGGCCTTATGGAGAAATGTGTCCTCCCTACACCAAAAATAAATAACCAAGTATTATTTCAGGGTTCCAAATAGGCATAAGAAATAATAGCTCTTAACCAGCTCATGTCTCTCGGTCTTGTTCTCTGCAGGAGACCATCCACCAGCTGGATAATGAGCTCAAGGGCACGAAGTGGGAGATGGCGCGTCATCTGCGCGAGTACCAGGACCTGCTCAATGTCAAGATGGCCCTCGACATTGAGATTGCTGCATACAGGTACAGTGCGACGGCAGGGCGCTAATTAGGCCTAACATTGATAAAACAACACTTCTAAAAAATATGTGTTTACTCATTACAAAACAAAATAGTTAATTCATCATTTGTAATAAAAACATAAACATCTCATTTCTATATAGAAAATACATTTTTATATTAGGCCTGCACTGTACTATATCTCTTGATCTACTGTTTTTGCAGGAAACTCCTAGAAGGTGAAGAGACCCACTTTAGTACTTTCCCTTACCGCCACACTGTCACCTCCTCTAAGAAGTCCAAGTATGAGCCTCCCAAACTGAAAGTCCAGCATAAGTTTGTAGAGGAGATCATTGAGGAGACCAGGGTGGAGGATGAGAAGGATGAGATGGACCAGGCCCTGGCTGAGATGGCCCAGGAGCTGTCTTCCGCTCTGGAGGCAGAGGGAGCAGATGAAGGAGAGGATGAGGGAGAAGAGGGAGGAGAAGAAGCAGAGGGAGAGGGTGAATCAGAAGAGGTTGTAGCCTCCACTGAAGCCCAAGTGAGCTCCAGCACACCTGCTGAGGAGGAAGAGGAGGACAAAGAAGGTGGTGATGAAGATGAAGAGGGAGAAAAAGAAGAAGAGGGTGAGAAAGGAGAAGAGGATGAGGGTGAGAAGAGAGATGATACAGAATGTGGTGATGAGGGAGAAGGAGAGGGGGAATTAGAGGAGACAGTCCTGTGCTCTAAAGCCCCAGAATCAAAGGCCTCTCCTGACAAAGAGAAGGCTGGAGAGAAGGAGGGAAGCGGAGGAGAAGAGGAGACAGCAGAGGGAGAGGGAGAAGAGGAGGGTGATGGTAAAGATGAAGATGCAGGAAGTGACAAAGGATCCAAAGAGGGAGATGATAAGGATGAGAAAGAGGACAAAACAGATGAGGCAGCTGTAGCCAAGACAGAGGCTCCCAAAACAGAAGCCCTCAAGAGTGAGGCCCCAAATGCTGAAGTCCAGACATCTGAGGCCCCAAAGCCCTCCAAGCCAGACTCCCTAAAAGCTGAATCCCCAAAGGCTGGGTCCCCCAAGTCTGAGTCACCAAAAGCTGGATCCCCCAAACATGAATCCCCCAAAGCTGGAACCCCCAAATCTGAATCCCCAAAACCTGGCTCCCCCAAATCTGAATCCCCAAAACCTGCTGGATCCCCCAAATCTGAATCCCCAAAACCTGCGGGCTCCCCCAAATCTGAATCCCCAAAACCTGCTGGCTCCCCCAAATCTGAATCCCCAAAACCTGCTGGATCCCCAAAATCTGAATCCCCAAAACCTACAGGATCCCCCAAATCTGAATCCCCAAAACCTGCTGGATCCCCCAAATCTGAATCTCCAAAACCTGCTGTATCCCCCAAATCTGAATCCCCAAAACTTGCTGGCTCCCCCAAATCTGAATCCCCAAAACCAGCTGGCTCCCCCAAATCTGAATCCCCAAAACCTACAGGATCCCCCAAATCTGAATCCCCAAAACCTACAGGATCCCCCAAATCTGAATCCCCAAAACCTGCTGGATCCCCCAAAACTGAATCCCCAAAACCTACAGGATCCCCCAAATCTGAATCCCCCAAATTAGGATCCCCCAAAGCAGAGTCCCCTAAGGGTGAGGCCCCCAAACCAGAAGCTCCAAAGTCAGAGGCCCCCAAGGCTGCAGAAGAGAAAGTAGACAAAAAGAGTGATTCAGAGGAAGAGAAGAAGGTAGAAAAGAAAGACGCAGCCTTGAACGGAGATGTTGAGAAGACTGCAACAGAGGACAAGAAGGATGAGGAGAAGAAAGAGGCAGAGGAGAAGGATGTTATCTCAAATGGAGTGGACGAGAGCCCCACTAAAGATGACCCCGACCAGAAAGATGACACCAAGGACCAGAAGGTGGTCATCACCAAAACGGTGGAGACCATCACCACTGGAGAGGACGGGGCCAAGCATGTCACCAAATCAGTCACTGTCACCGAGACTGTGAAGGAGTCTGAGGATGTGATGCAGGAGAAGACGGTCTCCAGCAAGAAGATGGAGAAACACTCTTCCCAGTCCATCAAGGTGGTGACTGAAACCGAGTGACTGCGTTCCAACCAACCCACCCAGGAAGAACAGAGGACACAACGACAAGCAATCAACCCAGAACTAACATAACAAATAAATCATACAGCTAGAGCGATGTAATAAAGATAACCACTCTCAAACATACAGGAAAGCAAAGAGAGAAGTCATATGATGTGAAAAAGCTCAAGTTTAAAAAATGCATGTTGAGTGAAAGCTTTAAATGGGTTTTGCTGCAGATTTTGTCAGGAAAATGTGGTAGTGGGACAGATGATTAATTATCTTTCTTTTTCCCTGCAGTTCACAGGAGGGCTCACGGGTGGGGGCGTCTGCATGCTAGCTCAGGGAGGGAGTCCCCTCCTCTCTAACCTGTATGTATGTATGGAAGGCTTACAGTTTAAATGCATATGTGGGTGGGAGAGTGATCGAAATGTATCTTAATTCAAATGTTAATTCAAAAAGGGGTGCCTGGGTTGGAGGGTCCACTTTAGAGACACATGTTCAAAAGGAGTAGCCTTTTTATGTGAAGATACCAACTGAGCCAAAAATACAATCGTCTACAACACAATATAGTGAAGAATGAGAAAGACGATGGTGCAATGAACTGATGATCATAAACATACAGTACTCGAAGCAACTAAAGCATAAAGAACCTTGAAGAAACGCCTAGCCTTAAACATCAGTATCTATTATGTTTACCTAATGAGTGCAATTGAAAAGAAATATGTAAATGCGCACACATACATTCTTGTATGCATAGGATGGACTTGAATTTAAATAGCAAACATAAATGAGGTGCTACAGTTTGCAATCCCATGTCTTTACTCATCATTAACTATTTCCCAGCAGCATTTGCTCAATAAATGTCATACTGAAATACAAATATGGTCTCTTTTTCCTTTATACAATTGTCCTGTCATGTCCTTTCACTTGTTGATTTACAGTAGCTGTCTCACCTCAACATGCACACAATATTCTATTTTCTCATCTGCTTTTATGGCGCAGGGATTGCATCCCTCATGATCTTTTGTAGCCTAGAAATTATACAAAACCACATCAACATCCACAGGCTGTCCTCTACAGATATTTAAAGCCACACTCTGTAATATGTGCATGCCATCAAAGAATGGGCCACCAACCATAATGTAAACGATGCACCCCATGGCATTTTGATGCAAAGAGCACTTTATTACAGCACTTGATTTATCAAATCAAACTTTATTTACATAGCACATTTCTTACCAAAAACAATTCAATTCAAAGTACTTCACATACGTAAATAAAATAATAAAATAGTGAGAAAGATCAAAACAATACATTTCTAGACAAATATAAAATGAAGATAGACAAATATAAAATGAAGATAGACAAATATACAATTGAGATAAACAAATGTAAAATTAAGATAGATGAATTAGGATAGTAAAACAATATTAAAACAACAGTGGACATGAGAGACTAATATGAGATACTGTATTTAGATTGAGAGATGTTTATGTAGTGTTTCAGCAATTAGCTACATTATTTGAGAACAACATTAACTACATTGTTAAACATGATTTGAAACTATACATATTTAATTTAAAGTATTTTACATGACAACTTAAACATGGAGTGATAGGTCCTTTGGAGATTCAGCAACATTAAAGCAGACAGCGACTCAATCGGAATTCGAAATTCAGCACCACCGGAAAATGGACAGTGACTATCTCAGGCAGAATCCATGAAGAGGTTTCTTTGAAATCCCAGCCACACTATCACTCACTCACAGTGAATCAATCCACATTATAATGCTAGAGGGATAGTTGGTCTGATTCTGTGCCACAAAGCACTATTACACCTGGGATGTTACACATTATTTTTTGTTTCTAAACCTAGATTATGACACCGCCAATCACCTCTCTCTCTCTCTCTCTCTCTCTCTCTCTCTCTCTCTCTCTCTCTCTCTCTCTCTCTCCTTTGAGAACAAAATAGTATATCTAACATAAAAAACAAACAGATTATGACATATATCAAAAGAAGAAAATCTTAGAGATGTCTGCCTGTAGGCTACGACTGCAAATTCACTATATGAGCTGCACTTCCGTTGCTTGTCCTCACGTTGCATGTCCTCACATGACCCAGGCTATACTGCACCTGCCGAATCTGCTTGTTGGTGATGACGCTTTGCTCACTCAGAGCGATTTCAACCCATTTCATCAGTGGACATTGCCAAATGGCATGACTAAAAACAGACTGAAGTAGCCAAAGAAGCAGTGGGATATCAAATTAGTCGCTTTCTAATGTCAATGCACGTAAAGCATCCGCCCTTGTTTTACGACTGATATATCCACACATCTGCAATGCAGTTTTTGGTTAATACTACCTAGTTCATGCTTTAGTGCTGTCTCTGGATGACTCTGCTGATTGCTACACCTCTTCCACTCAGGATTTTAGCCTAGCACTCACGTAGTGTGCTGAAGGAAGCAACTAAATTGCCAAGAGTCATAAAATCAGCACCACAGTACTTCAATGTCTTAAAAGCAATAAAAACCCACGACTGAGCGCAGATGTTATCGTTCTCAGCCCTGATATGAGGTAATAACAATGCCATCACTGTCTGAAGTTCCTCCCATTCCTCAGCATCTGATGAAGCCTCTGATGTGGACCATGCAAGGTTAGTGCTCCCTCAAGAGGATACACAGCACAAAAACTGTCAGGCCCCTGCTAGTGCATCGTGATTGTGCCTGCGTGCCCCAAATATAGATAGACGTGAGCAATTTCAGACCCAGAAAACTAGCTGTGGTTGCCATTGATGATCAGCACCATGGACAGGTACATTGGTGATCAGCACCATGGACTGGTACATTGGTGATCAGCACCATGGACAGGTCGCCTGCAGTGCAACGCACAGAGATATGTAATTCTATGGTGCAACACTTACATAATTGTGTGTGTGTGTGTGTGTGTGTGTGTGTGTGTGTGTGTGTGTGTGTGTGTGTGTGTGTGTGTGTGTGTGTGTGTGTGTGTGTGTGTGTGTGTGTGTGTGTGTGTGTGTGTGTGTGTGTGTTTGTGTGGCCTACAGTCCAAAATGTGGACAGAGAGATGAATGGTTGTGTTTATAAGATGGCTTTGCACCAGTGGTATTCAAAGTCGGGGTTGCGGGGGAACTGCACCGGGGTCGACAAAATGTTCGTTTTTTTAATGTTGGAGGAACAAAACATTCTGAGTACAGATTATTGGATGGGACAATATACACCATTTTTTAGAAAGATAGTTTGAAAGATACAATTTGATTGAGTGACTTTATTTATTTATATGATACAAAAATGCAATGAATTTACGCTTAGGTAAAAATTGACATTTAGCAATATTAAGGTTGTGTCATTAGATTTGGGGGGTGGTGGGGTAGCAAGAAATTCTTTGGAAAACAAATCCCCAGAAATTCTGGCTGAAGAAATGGGGCCCACGCTGAAAAGGTTTGAGTACCACTGCTCTACACGGTCTAAAGAAGATCTGACAGCCATGGTATATCATACCGTATACCACGGGTATGACAAAACATTTATTTGTACTGCTCTAATTACGTTGGTAGCCAGTTTATAATAGCAATAAGGCACCTCGGGGGTTTGTGGTATATGGCCAATATACCACAGCTAAGGGCTGTATCCAGGCACTCCACCTTGTGTTGTGCATAAGAACAGCCCTTAGACATGGAATATTGGCCATATACCACACCCCCTCAGGCCTTATTGCTTAAGTAAACCATCATGTTCATGTCTTCTTACAACCAGCTTATAAAGCATTTAATAGATAGTTTGTTCAACATTTGTAAACAGTTTGTGAATCATGACACATAACCTGTTAATGGATTAATTAATTAATTAATTAATACATTAATTGAGTATGGACCTGCTGTAAGCAGGCCATTACATGCATTAACTTTGTGGTTAACTATGTGATCATGTTTTTAAGCATACCTTCAATTAAAGGTTTATCAATAATATATTCAACAACTCATCCTTGTTGTTGAGTTGAACAGATCTAACATAGAAATTATAAATATTGTTTATTGAGTTATTATTTAGCATGACGGACAAAAACAATCAATTACACACTCTGCATGGCTGTTAATAGTATTTATTTAGTCATCCAAAACCACACTCTCGCAGACTTGCATACAGGCACAGCACACACATTCTTACACACACACACTCAAGGAATTGTGTGACCAGACATTAATTTACTTTTAATTATCTTTGCAAGCAGTTATCCTTGATTTTTATGCAGTAGTGCACTAAAATATGTATTGTATTGAGCACCTTGTTAACAAGCACACTGAAGTCATTAATGTTGGGTATTTCTGCTGTTTGTCGAGCTGAGGTTTTTAATAGATAAATGTCTTTTGGCTTGTGGAGTCTTGGGCCACAAACTTACTTTTTAGCTTTTGGTTTTTCAGATTCGTCTTTCTTCTCTTCGGCAGGTTTTTCACTCTTTACTACAGGACTTGGATATCTCTGGTTCACCTTTCTCTTCTTTGGTATCTGCTTCGTCATCTTTTTTCTCCTCAGCTTGATCCGCTCCCTTTTTATCACCCCCTTCTTTATCATCTCCTCCCTCTTTCTCTCCCCCCTCCTCTTCCTTTCCTTCCTGCTCCCCACCCTCGTCCTTATCTTCCTTCTTCTCTCCATCCTCCTTTCCAGTTTCTTCCTTCTCTTCCACCTCATCCCCACCTATAACCAAAACATTTAATAATTATGAATAGGGGAATAATTGTGTTGATAGACTGTATTGTAAAAATGTTAACATCTAAGCAATGCACGACAACAAGAGAGAATATTCTTTGAGGGATAATACTAATGCTAACCTTCTTCTCCGTCCTTAGCATCCTCCCCATCTTCCTTCTCCACCTCGCCTCCATCTTCATCCTTCTCTTCTCCCTTTTCCTCCTTCTCCTCTCCACCCTCTTCCTCTTCATCCTTCTCCTCTCCACCCTCTTCCTCTTCCTCCTTCTCCTCTCCACCCTCTTCCTTCTCTTCTGCTTCCTCCTCCTCCTTCTCCTCCTCTTCCTCCTCCTTCTCCTCCTTCTCCTCTTTCTCATCCTGTGGTAGGCTGGCAGAGTCCCGCTGGGCCAGGCTGGCAGAGATGATGTCATCACCAGAGGCGAATGAGGAGCTGAGGAAGCGTGAGGTCATCAGGTAGGGGGCGCCAGAGCTTAGGCTGGACTGCATGGAGAACATAGAGCGGCCAAAGGAGGGTGTGGCCGACAGGGTGTGGCCGTAGACACTGGACATACTGGACATACCCCCGGACACACCCACACTGAAACGAGACTCCTCCCCCTCCAGCAGCTTCCTGGAGAAGTAAAGGATCATGGGACATATATACTTTTAGAGTAAAAGGACAAAAGGTTTTCATTGACCTGGACTTGCATTAGTATTATTAAGTTATATTTATTTAAGTTTAAGCTCTGGCCAGTGCTCCTCATAGCATCCTACCTGTAGGCAGCGATCTCGATGTCCAGGGCCATCTTAACATTCAGCAGGTCCTGGTAATCCTTCAGGTAGCGAGCCATCTCCTGCTTGGTGGCTCCCAGCTCATTCTCCAGCTGGCCAATAGTGTCCTACAGGAGACGTTTAGAGGTAATGTGGTGGAAAATGTGTGTGTTCTTACAGCAGCTTACAAGTTCAGGTAAATTGCCTAAAATGGTTGAGTGTGACCATTTAAATTGATGCATTAGAACATTACTAAATCAGTTCTACTTTGCACAAATTATTTAAAACGTTATTGAATTCTTGAATTCTGATAAAGTCATCTATCTATTAATAAACAGTTTCTAAACATGCAATTAATAAATAAATTCACTCTTAGATTGCATTCATTCTGAGGTATTTTCATGAATACAGATTTGCAGTATTTAAATTTGTCCTGCAGTACCACCACTGACCTGCATGCTGTTGATCTCAGCACTCTGCTTGTCCTCCATGTCGTGCAACTGTTTGTCCAGAGACTCATTGAGACCCCTGCAGGCATCGATCTCCAGCAGGCGGGCCTGCAGCTGCCGGCGGAACTCCCCAGCCTCGTCCCTGGAGCTCCTCACTGCATCGCTGTGCTGGGCCACGCTCTCCGTCAGGGAGCCCACCTTCCCACGGAACCACTCCTCAGCAGACTGCATGTTCTTGGCCGCCAGCCTCTCGTACTGGGCCCGGATGTCCCTCAGAGCCCCGGACAGGTCCGGTGTGGTTGCCTCCATCTCCACAGCCACCTGGGCTCCCAGCTGTGCCTGGGCCTGGAGCTCCACCACCTCCCCCTCGTGGAGCCTCTTGAGGAAGGCCAGCTCGTCCAGCAGGGTCTCCACCCTCTTCTCCAGCTCGGTCCTGGCCAGGGTGGCCTGGTCGGCACCACGCCGCGCATCCAGCAGCCTGCCCTCCGCATCCTCGCGGGCCACCACCTCCTCCTCATAGCGGGCCTGCAGGGCATTCAGGGCTTGCTCCAGACGTTCCCTCTGGCCCAAGGCGGCCTGCTGCTCCCCACGCGCCTCCTCCACGGCGGCCCTCAGAGCCCGCGCCTCCTGCTCATACAGGGCCCTCAGACGGGAGGGCTCCCCATGCCTCTGCCTCAGCAGCATCAGCTCAGCTTCCAGCGCACGGTTCTGCTGCTCTAACTCCCGAACGCGGTCGATGAAGCCGGCGAAGCGGTCATTGAGCTCCTGCATCTGGGCCCTCTCCTGGGTCCTCACCGTGCGGAACTCAGAACTTACCTGGGCCGCCTGGCTCAGCTCCAGTTCCACAGAGGAGGAGGAAGCCTGGGATGAATGCAGAGCCCGTCCAGGAGAGGAGTACTGCAAACGGGAGCTCACGGAGGACAGGGGAGAGGTGTGGGAGGAGTAGGCCGAGCGTGACCTCCCTCTGGTCACCACCCCTCGGGGGGCTCCCTCCGCATACCAGCGGCGGTAGGAGGAGGAGGAGTAGTAAGGGTCAAAGCCGAGGGTACTCATGGCTGTGCTGTGCTGTGAGGACAGGCTGCTCTGTCTGGCTCTGTGTGAATGTGTCTGTAGGGCTTCGGTGAAGAACCCAGACTGATGCTGCTGCAGTGGCTTCAGCTTTTATAGCAGGAGGGAGAGCTCTGACGCAAGCACTTTCCCCAACTCTGACTATGCAGGATCGAAAGTCTAACACTGCAATGGAGAGAGAGGGAGAGTGAGAGAAGGAAAAGAAGGAAGGAGAGAGAGGGGGAGGGAAGGAGATAAAGAGATGGGGAGAGATAGAGAGGGAAAGGGAGGGGGCAGATGAAAGAGAGATGTTTGTGTTTTGAGGGTAGAACAGAGGTGAACATGTTTCTAGTTGCTCTACAGTGTTTCTGTCATACACAGTAACCTTGACTACTAATATTCACAAGTTAATGTACAGAAAAGTGGAGTTAGATAGCTAAAGCCTCTGGCTAGTGAAGTATATTATCTGCACTGTACCTGCACCAATAGAACAAATAAATAGTTGCATGAGTTTGTACTCATTTGAAAGTAGGTCCTGCAGTCCTCTCTGCAGGGGAAGAGAATGGCTGTCCTGATTCTACAGCAGCTCATGTGTTCCTATTATACACAGCTGGTAATCATACAGTGACACAGCACCTCCCCTGCTGGCCTATAGGAGAAATACACCCATGACTTCTGAAAACCTGCAATGAAAATTACAGAACACACAGCTGGATTGTATTTGGTCAAATATATGGCTCAACATACCTTATACAAATTATGATTACATTTTGTCAGTTTTATGCATAATATGCATAGTATTTTTGCAAATTGTCATGCATATGAAGATAGTGTATTTTTATTGTTACAGAGCAGACATCATCATGCCCGTGTATGCAAATGAAAAAATAGACCGAATGACACTGAAGAGGTACATTAACAAAAAAGAAAACATGTACCTGTGTAGAAGAGAGCCTATGATAGAGTAGCAGAGGCACGCAAGGGGCTTGTTTGACACTGCAGCCGACAGTGCAGGCGACTGCCAACTGACTGATCTTCAAATGACCTTGCATCATAAATAACTACTCATTATTATGTGTAGATCAGTCATGGATTTGATGCTCTCAAATGGCCTTCTCTGATGACATGGAGTCTGAGCTTGCTAAACTGAATATTTCCAGGAATACAAAACATCCTGAAATATACAGTCAGTGGCGGCTCCTGAAAAAATTCTCAGGAGGGGCAATTTTTCTGATGATTTAGGTGACCTACACACATTTTAAAAAAGATATGTCCAGCAACAACATGAAGACAGGGGCAGCATATAAGTCAATACCAGAAGCATTTATTGACTGATCTGGGGAGATGGATTCCAGTTTCTGTGACAGATTATAAATAATCTCTGATGCCTTTGTTATATTAGCTTTTGGTTGAATGTACTGTCGTAGTAAATATATAATGTTTTAGCTTGGTCTGACTAAAATCTTGTGCATGACCCATTTTGTGTTGGGCCTTTGTATTCAATACAATGAACAAGAGTCCTATCTTGTCAGCCTTGTCAGCAGGTGGCTAAGGATAACACCCACGCCATAGGTCTCTCAGTTCTTCCAACTCACGAGTTCTTGCCCTGAGGACACACACACACACACCCACACACACACACACACACACACATCATCACTGATAAACACACACACACACACACACACATCATCACTGATAACAAACACACACACACACACACACACACACACTGATAACAAACACACACACACACACACAAATCCTCTTCTCTTAGGCTGAACATCTGAAGACAGAGAACCCGACTCAGAGCCAATGCAACAGTGACACTAGCCTGGAGGTGACATCGCCCAACTCATCAGGACCAATCAGAAGATCAGAACTACTAGATTCAACCTACTTCATTTTATTGTATAAAATGTCAGCACACAATGTTTAGGGGCTCTTCTGATAAACTCCCTACGAGTTTGACGAACGGGTCCGTGCACGCGATTGCAGATATCTTTACCTCTGAATAAACTGCCTTATATTATACAATTATCCACCTTGTCCAAAAGTCTCTACTTTTTCTCCGTTCTCCAGTAAACTTGTTTTATCAACAATAGTAAGGTTCAATGACACAGAAAGCAGTTCAATGTCGGGGTACAGAGTCGCTCTCTTACCAGGATCGTGGTCCGCTCTGACCAGGGTGAAGGTGGCCGGCTCCACCTCTCTGTCCGGGACTCTGTCATCCAGTCAAGTCTCCCAGCTGTATTGGGATTCTGCTGCCAGCAGCGTTTTCATTATTTAGTCCGTTCGTAGCGGGTATGTACACGATCAACAAGATCAGTCCAAAACCGAAGATCAGTCCAAAGCAGAATGTTTGCAGAATGTTTGTAAACTAAGTCTACAAATTAAAAACATAAAATAACGCCACACTGCAGGTCGCAACATAGACGCTGATAGCCGCCATTGTCTTAGTTACGTTCAACGTTACGTCACGTATGACGAAAGCGCGTAAGTGCATGCACACAGACACCCATAGAGAATGTATTGAAAGCTTTGAAATGTGAAAAAAATTGATTTTACATGACAGGCTATGAGAGACTTCTGGGCGATTTTCAACCTGACTGAAATCGCCCAAAAAACGGGCGGGGCCATTTGAAGCACGACTTTAGCCTGATTTGACATTTAGTGGCTGGCAGATCAGACGTGAACACTGATAACTGCTGTTGCCGTGATATAATTGATTAGAAAAAAAATCCCTTCCTTTTCCCGTTTGGCAGTGCGTCGCCCATATCGCCCTATTGAACAAGCCGTCCATGTATACAGTGGGTAAAAAGTATTTGATCCCCTGCTGATTTTGTACGTTTGCCCACTGACAAAGACATGATCAGTCTATAATTTTAATGGTAGGTTTATTTGAACAGTGAGAGACAGAATAACAACAAAAAAATCCAAAAAAACGCATGTCAAAAATGTTATAAATTGATTTGTATTTTAATGAGGGAAATAAGTATTTGACCCCTCTGCAAAAGATGACTTAGTACTTGGTGGCAAAACCCTTGTTGGCAATCACAAAGGTCAGACGTTTCTTGTAGTTGGCCACCAGGTTTGCACACATCTCAGAGGGATTTTGTCCCACTCCTCTTTGCAGATCTTCTCCAAGTCATTAAGGTTTCGAGGCTGACGTTTGGCAACTCGAACCTTCAGCTCCCTCCACAGATTTTCTATGGGATTAAGGTCTGGAGACTGGCTAGGCCACTGCAGGACCTTAATGTGCTTCTTCTTGAGCCACTCCTTTGTTGCCTTGGCCGTGTGTTTTGGGTCATTGTCATGCTGGAATACCTATCCACGACCCATTTTCAATGCCCTGGCTGAGGGAAGGAGGTTCTCACCCAAGATTTGACAGTACATGGCCCGTCCATCGTCCCTTTGATGCGGTGAAGTTGTCCTGTCCCCTTAGCAGAAAAAACACCCCCAAAGCATAATGTTTCCACCTCCATGTTTGACGGTGGGGATGGTGTTCTTGGGGTCATAGGCAGCATTCCTCCTCCTCCAAACACAGCGAGTTGAGTTGATGCCAAAGAGCTCCATTTTGGTCTCATCTGACCACAACACTTTCACCCAGTTCTCCTCTGAATCATTCAGATGTTCATTGGCAAACTTCAGACGGCCCTGTATATGTTGTTGGTAATCAGGCCTACAGGTACCACTGTTGTGTCGTCCCGGTACAACCACTATTTGATCTTCACAGGACAACTGTAGTCCATCGCAGTATAGTTATATAGTAAGTACAGTCGGAAAATACTTATTTGGGATGTTTGAAATTCAATTCAAGTAGAAATGCAGCAAGGTTTCAAACCGATCCTACCACCCACTTAAACTCTGGGGCCAGCACAGGTAAAAATACTGATTATGCATTAAAATGACTGAGAGAGTCAGGCCTGAGCCCAAACTTTAGGGCTAAATCAATGCCCACTGCTACCAATCAAAAATATGAGCCATATTGAGATAGGAGAGAAATACAATATCACCAAATACAAAATTAATGGAACTCTGGGCATGAAGCCAATCTGTGTATCATATATCACAAAAAAAGGGCAGAGAGCTAGAGGAATCACAAAGAGAGAGAAAGACTTAGGATGCTGCAGTGAGCGAGAGAGAGAGAGAATGAGAGAGAGAGAGAGAGAGAGAGATAGAAAGAGAGAGAGAGAGAGATGAGAGAGAGAGAGAGAGGAGAGAGAGAGAGAGGAGAGGGAGAGAGAGAGAGAGAGGAGAGAGAGAGAGAGAGAGAGAGAGAGAGAGAGAGAGAGAAAGCAGGTGAATATAGTAGGGCAGAATTGTGTAGTTGAAAGAGGTGAAAGAGGAGAGGAGGTGGTGTGGAGGGGATGGGGGGTCCTGGGTGAGCACGACTGTACTGATGAGTCAGCTTGCGGCAGCACTCCACACCTACACTAAACATTGTCGTTGCCTTGTCAGCAAAATACACACAAACACACTCAAATTCATACACTCATCTCAATAAGTACAGCCAGAATACACAGTATACTGCATCCAAACATGGACTCATATCAGCCTGCTCTTTGACCAGATCCTCATACTGGTTCCCTCTTCACTCTTCAGCTGATAGATGAACCTGTTTCTCTTGTTAGGGAATTAACATGATGTCTAACTTCAAAGCCCTCTGTGTCCCTTCCAGCAAAAGCGATCATGAAAATGTATTTGAATGAACATAACCAATTCCGTATAATAAACAAACCAATACATTATCATAACAAAAATACAAACAAATCTTCACAGACATCATTTATAAACATTAGCATTACAGCACCTGATAGGGGAGAGTGGGGTATGTTGAGCCATTTTTTACATTTAGTATATAGTATTATTTTAAACAAAATATATCTACATCCAGTGGGTATCATAAGTATTCACCCGTATTGGATTTCTTCACATTTTATTGTGTTACAAAGTGGGATTAAAATGGATTTAATTGTAATGTTTTATCAACGATCTACACATAATACTCTGTAATGTCAAAGTAGAAGAAACATTCCAACATTATTTAAAGATTATTTAAAAAGAAAGCACTAATATGCCATGATTAGTTTAGTATTCACCCCTCTGAGTCAATACATGTTAGGAACACTTTTGGCAGCGATTACAGCTGTGAGTGTTCTTGGGTAAGTCTCTAAAAGCTTTCCACACCTGGATTGTCACTATAATGTTGTTGATCCATTGTCAGTTTTCTCCCATCACAGCCATTGAACTCCATAGCTGTTTTAAAATCACCAATGTCCTCATGGTGACATCCCCAAGCAGTTTCTTCCTGTCCTGCAGCTCAGTTCAGAAGGACGATATAACTTATTATGTGATTTGTTAAGCCACATTTTACTTCTGAACAAATTTAGGCTTGCCTAAACAAAGGGGGTGAATACTTATGCAACGACTATATTTTTATTAATTTGTAAATGTTCTTTTTACTTTGACATTATGTAGTATTTTGTGTAGATCAATGACTCACAATTAAATCTATTTCAATCCCACTTTGTAATGCAATAAAATGGGGGTGAATACTTACAGTGAGGGGAAAAAGGCATTTGATCCCCTGCTGATTTTGTACGTTTGCCCACTGACAAAGAAATTATCAGTCTATAATTTTAATGGTAGGTTTATTTGAACAGTGAGAGACAGAATAGCAACAACAAAATCCAGAAAAACGCATGTCAAAAATGTTATAAATTGATTTGCATTTTAATGAGGGAAATAAGTATTTGACCCCCTCTCAATCAGAAAGATGTCTGGCTCCCAGGTGTCTTTTATACAGGTAACGAGCTGAGATTAGGAGCACACTCTTAAAGGGAGTGCTCCTAATCTCAGCTTGTTACCTGTATAAAAGACACCTGTCCACAGAAGCAATCAATCAATCAGATTCCAAACTCTCCACCATGGCCAAGACCAAATAGCTCTCCAAGGATGTCAGGGACAAGATTGTAGACCTACACAAGGCTGGAATGGGCTACAAGACCATCGCCAAGTAGCTTGGTGAGAAGGTGACAACAGTTGGTGCGATTAGTCGCAAATGGAAGAAACACAAAAGAACTGTCAATCAGCCCAGAACTACACGGGAGGATCTTGTCAATGATGTCAAGGCAGCTGGGACCATAGTCACCAAGAAAACAATTGGTAACACACTACGCCGTGAAGGACTGAAATCCTGCAGCGCCCGCAAGGTCCCCCTGCTCAAGAAAGCACATATACAGGGCTGTCTGAAGTTTGCCAATGAACATCTGAATGATTCAGAGGAGAACTGGGTGAAAGTGTTGTGGTCAGATGAGACCAAAATGGAGCTCTTTGGCATCAACTCAACTCGCCGTGTTTGGAGGAGGAGGAATGCTGCCTATGACCCCAAGAACACCATCCCCACCGTCAAACATGGAGGTGGAAACATTATGCTTTGGGGGTGTTTTTCTGCTAAGGGGACAGGACAACTTCACTGCATCAAAGGGACGATGGACGGGGCCATGTACTGTCAAATCTTGGGTGAGAACCTCCTTCCCTCAGCCAGGGCATTGAAAATGGGTCATGGATGGGTATTCCAGCATGACAATGACCCAAACACACAGCCAAGGCAACAAAGGAGTGGCTCAAGAAGAAGCACATTAAGGTCCTGGAGTGGCCTGGCCAGTCTCCAGACCTTAATCCCATAGAAAATCTATGGAGGGAGCTGAAGGTTCGAGTTGCCAAACGTCAGCCTCAAAACCTTAATGACTTGGAGAAGATCTGCAAAGAGGAGTGGGACAAAATCCCTCCTGAGATGTGTGCAAACCTGGTGGCCAACTACAAGAAACGTCTGACCTTTGTGATTGCCAACAAGGGTTTTGCCACCAAGTACTAAGTCATGTTTTGCAGAGGTGTCAAATACTTATTTCCCTCATTAAAATGCAAATCAATTTATAACATGCATTTTCTTGTTGTTATTCTGTCTCTCACTGTTCAAATAAACCTACCATTAAAATTATAGACTGATCATGTCTTTGTCAGTGGGCAAACATACAAAATCAGCAGGGGAACAAAAACTTTTTCCCCTCACTGTAGCTGCCCACAATGTCACCCCATGTTGAGGCAGAATCTTTTAGTCTGTTTTTCCCTAGTCACTACTACCTCATTGCATGGTATAGTTGTATCAGTAATGGTTTTGGATTAAGATATAAAGTGCATGGCCAGAGTTAGATAACTATTTCCACTGTCTTTCATTGATGTGGCTGTTCCTCTCAGACACAGCAGCTTACTCTGATCTTTACACTTTTATTCCACAGCTCTCAGTTTAAAAGTCATGTTGCTATTTTAGTTCAATCCCTGACCTCTGCCCTTCCCAGCCGGGACATGTCCCTCTAGCCCACGGGAGGCCCTGTCTTATTGGCTGAGCCTGGCTGTCAATCAGGAGGTGAAGTTCCCTCATTGGTGGAGAGCAGTGGAGGACCGGCTGCTACACAGGCCCACATTCCAGGGTGCTATAAAAAGTGTGGTTGGAGTCGCTCGGGGCTCACTGTTGGTCTCAGAGTGTGTGTGTACCATAAGGGAGGGCCGTGTCTCGTGTGTTTGGTGAAGGAACTTAAAGCAACACTGCAAACATGACTACCGCCCATAAATTGGTGATCGTCCGTCATGGTGAGAGTGAGTGGAACCAGTACAACAAATTCTGTGGCTGGTTTGATGCCGACCTCAGCGAGAAGGGCCTGGAGGAGGCCAAGCGTGGTGCCATGGCCATCAAGGAGGCCGGCATGAAGTTTGACATCTGCCACACCTCCGTGCTGAAGCGCGCCGTCAAGACCCTGTGGATCATCCTGGAGGGCACAGACCAGATGTGGCTGCCCGTGTACCGCACATGGCGTCTGAACGAGCGCCACTACGGCGGCCTGACAGGTCTTAACAAGGCAGAGACAGCCGAGAAGCACGGAGAGGAGCAGGTCAAGATCTGGCGTCGCTCCTTCGACATCCCCCCTCCCCCCATGGAACACAACCATGCCTTCCACAATACCATCAGTGAGGTAAGAGGGGTGGTGTTGGAAGTATTGGTGGTGCTATTACTACACAAAACAGACCTGTGATTCAAGTTTTAGACGTGTGATTGCTGATATAGAATAATAACACCCCTAGTTTTACAAGGAAACCAGACAACGATAGGATATCTATGACTTGCTCAGGAGATCCTGCAAGACTAAGACCTGCAGGTCTCAGTTGAAGTAAAACACCATTGAATGAATGGAACAGCATTGCATGAATGGAACAGCATTGAATGAATGGAACAGCATTGAATGAATGGAACAGCATTGAATGAAATTCTATGACTTCTCATGTATGACTACTTGTATGAGCCTAAACATGGACTGTAAAACTGCAACATGTACCGCTTGAGTTACTAAGTAAGCTCTGCCAGGTTTACTTTGCAGCCCTCTAGTATGTTACATCACACTTGTCAGCACCTGCTGTTGTGAAGATACATTTGAGCAGTGTAACCCAACATGATGATACATTTGAGCAGTGTAACCCAACATGATGATACATTTGAGCAGTGTAACCCAACATGCTGATCCGTCCTCCCACCAGTCAAGGCGCTACAAGGGCTTGAAGCCCGGTGAGCTGCCCACATGTGAATCGCTGAAGGACACCATTGCCCGCGCCCTGCCCTACTGGAACGATGTCATCGCACCTGAGATCAAGGCCGGCAAGAACGTCATCATCGCTGCCCACGGCAACAGCCTCCGTGGAATTGTCAAGCACTTAGAGGGTGAGTATAATGGGCTGCTGCGGTAGCTGGACACAGAGAGAGAGGGTGGGAAAGAGGGGGGACAGGGAAAGAGAGAGAGCAGAGGAGAGGACATGGAGAAAGAGTGGTACAACTAACATAGGAGATGACAGTCATACAAGGCAGGGGGGAACATGGAAAAGTTTGGAAATGACAGAGAGCACTTGCGGGAAAAGGTTAGAGGTCATGTTTCACAAGGTATGTCCAGTATGGCATGTAGTCAAACATCACATGACTCACAACACAGATCTAAAAGATGCATAGCCACTGCACAGATTGAAGCAGGGGTCTAGCCTCCCTTGAGGTTCTTGAGAAAGCAGCCAAGGAAGTGAGAGAAGGGAAGAACTCCATTCGAGCAGCAGCAAGAGATGAAAAAGAAATAGACTGAATGACACTGAAGAGGTACATTGACAGAAAAGAAAACGAACATGCACCTGTGTGAAAGAGAGGCTATGATAGAGTAGCAGAGGCACACAAGGTCTTATCTGATGACATGGAGTCTGACTGCGCTTGCTAAACATATCAAGAATCTTGCTGATCAGTTTCATGGGCTTAGTAGCCTCAAATGCAGAGAACGTGCCTACAAATGTGCACATCGAAACAATATCACTGTCCCAGATAACTGGTCAAGAAATGGAAGGGTAAGTGATAGTGAACAGAGAGATCTATATCTGAATATAGGCATACTTTTACCAACCAGCACCATCACCCACTGTCACAGAACACCATCACCTAGTGTCACAGGACACCTTCACTCACTTACCCCAAGGTGGCTCAACTTACCTTGTCCCTAACCTCAACTTACCCCATGCCCCGGACAAGCTATGTTTTCAAAACTGTTATGTTTACATGAATTCTGATTATACACAACATCCTGAAATATATGTAGATATCTTTGTTAGAAATAATACTATGTTAGTGATGCTGAATGTAAAAATGGCTCAATTTACCCCACTCTCCCCTACACTGATGTAGGGACTGGCTGTACACAGTAAATTCCTAATAGGCTGTTGTTTGTTCATTATTTGTGGATCACTGAGAATATAACAGCTGGACCCATAGGCATGGTACATCACAAGCACCCAATCACATACATAGAGTACACAAACACATTCCCAGATTACCAGGAGTCTATAAATAGCTGTGGCTCTCTCCCTGCTGGAGCTCAGACCGACACAGTGGAAAAGGCCATGGGTGCGGTCCCGTTACGGGCACGACCTTTCTGCAGAAAGGTTTTGCATTCTCTAGGAGTGGTGGGACCAGGGTGATTCAGACAGGGTTGCAGAGGGAGAGACACAAGAGCAGAGGGAACAAGCTACTTAGTGCCCCCCTGAAAGAGGAGTATGGATGACCTCACCTGTCAAAGGGCACCAAATGTTGCTCTTGTAAAGAGAGCTGGGTAGTGGGTACTAGCTAAGAAATATACCAGCCTTCGAGGATCTGTACTTGACATCCGTAGAAAGGATTTCCCCTCCACTAGGAATACACGTCCAATACAGTGCGTAATGTTAATTACCTTGAATATGAATGATCAGTCTGGATTTCCCAACCTATTCTCTGTTCATTCCTAACACATATTTCTGTCTGTCTGTCTGTCTCAGGCATGTCCGACGCTGCCATCATGGAGTTGAACCTGCCAACAGGTATCCCCATTGTGTACGAGCTGGACGTGAACCTGAAGCCCGTCAAGCCCATGGCTTTCCTGGGAGACGCCGAGACCGTAAAGAAGGCCATGGAGGCCGTGGCTGCCCAGGGCAAGGCTAAGAAGTAAGCTAGCCTGGAGGTGTCAAGAGGAGAGAGAGAAAGTGACTGTTCCCCCCCATCCCTAACTATCATCCACCCCTCCATCTCCCCATTCACCTGCTGTCCATTCCATCCTGGGATAAATGCTATTTTTGGTTGTGGAAATAGGCCCTGTGTAGCCACTTGTATCTGAGAGGGAACATCACGAAACCCAGATATGTGGTGATTGTTCCATAGATCTATGCAGGTTGTACCGGTACTGCACAAGTCTTGTCCACTCACCCAAACACACAGACTATTGTGGAGTGTCACAGTCCCACTGTAGGATTGGTTAAGCCCTGTGTTAAGGGCAGCACACTCTGACACAACAAATAAAGAAACCATATTTTGTGTATGCCTGTTTCTGCATTTATCTCTTTCTTCTTCACCTCTTCCTCCCCCTCTGTTTTGATGTTTTTCCTCCTCTTACTCTCTCGCTTCCCCTTTTCTCTTCTCCTCCTCCGTTACCTGCTCTTCCTCCTCTCCCTCCATGGGTAATTCAGTGGTATCAGCTCAGCAGTGGCGATGCTGTGTAATCTTATCCAGGGAGCAGAGCGGAGTGTGGCGGGGAGGAGAGAGAGGAGAGGAGGGTCACTGAGTTTGTTTTGGCAGTGTTCCCATGTTGCAGGAGCACTTCATCTGACTCTGTCCCTCTCCTCTCCTCAGTACAGACAGGGTACGCTGGCTCAGGGCCAGGGCCACTTTTAGCAGGGGAGAGGGTGTGGGTGTGGGTGTGTGGGTTCATGTGCATGGGCATGTCTGTGTAAAGGGGTTTAGGGGGTGAGGTACCAAGTCAGTGTGTGTGGCACTTTCATTATGTGTGTACAATAGTTCTAATTCTAGGCCATCAACAATTACTAAACCCAGACCTTATTGTAATCAGCAACATTAATGGACAAATCACCTATCAACTACCACCTGCACCTAGATTTGATGACTGGGTCAGAGAAGGGGGCACTAAAAGGAATTTGATTTAGGTTAGATTGAACACAAATTCCATCAAACCAAGAGTGGGGACAGCAGTAAAATAACATTTTACACTAATTAGTCTGGATCCCAAACACAAGGCTGGTCTAAAGTGGCTAAATCAAATTATACTTCCATCTCTTTAACCTCTACGGGATCGGTGTCCCGTATACGGGACGGTTGAGCTAACGTGAGCTAATGTGATTAGCATGACTGTTGTAAGTAACAGCAAACTTTCCAGGACATAGACATGTCTTATATGTGCAGAAAGCCTACATTCTTGTTAATCTAACTGCACTGTCCAATTTACAGTAGCTATTACAGTGAGAAAATACCATGCTATTGTTTGAGGAGAGTGCACAACAACAAAAAACGTATCACGACAACTGGTTTGATACATACAACTGGTTTGATACATTCACCTCTGAATGTAAATAATGTACTTACATTCAGCAATCTTGCTCTGATTTGTCATCCTACGGGTCCTAGACATAAAATGTAACAGTTTTGTTTGATAAAATCCATTTTTATATTCAAATATAGGAACTGGGTTCTACAGTTTGACCCCCTGCTGTCTCTGGCACCACACGCACCCCACCCAGGCAATCTAGATCTGTGAAAATTAGTGTATAAGCTAATGATCCATCATGTATGACATTCCTGGGAGTGTGTAAACTTACATTTTGTATTACCTTATTATTTTTGTATGTTCTCTATAGTTATGTACTTGAAAATGTATCAATTGACCAATTCGGCACATTTGGGCAGACTTGATACAAAATAGTCCAGTATTGCAATGCTTCACAGGATCAATCTGAAACTTTGCGCACGCACTGCTTCCTTCTAGTGGCCAAAATATAAATTGCACCTAAACTGCAATATTATATTGTGGCCTTTCTCTTGCATTTCAAAGATGATTTAAAAAAAGAAAGAAATAAAACCTCATGTTTTTTTGTTTGTATTGTCTTTTACCAGATCTAATGTGTTATATTCTCCTACATTAATTTCACATTTCCACAACCTTCAAAGTGTTTCCTTTCAAATGGTATCAAGAATATGCATATCCTTGCTTCAGGTCCAGAGCTACAGGCAGTTAGATTTGGGTATGTCATTTTAGACGAAAATTGAAAAAAAGGGTCAGATCCTTAAGAGGTTCTAAGACAGTGTGTTGTAAGGCATTCAGATGTTCAATGTCTATACTGTAAGGTATCTACATGTCTAAATGAAGCTTTTCCAATCTATCTTGCGTCAAAAATAAGTATTTATTTCTAGTCTAATTGCATAGAATAAAATGCTTAATTTAAAGTGAAAATTATTCATTCCAATATTCATATATCAAGCCTCAGGACTGTCTTTTCTCACATTTTCAAAGATAAAACAAGATTATAATGTTGAATGTGTTATTGAGTAGACATAAGCTAAGTGCTACTAACAGTCAAATACAGAGAAAGATATTTTACACTAACTGGTCCTCTGTAGCTCAGCTGGTAGAGCACAGTGCTTGTAACGCCAAGGTAGTGGGTTCGATCCCTGGGACCACCCATACACACAAAAAAATAATGTATGCACGCATGACTGTAAGTGGCTTTGGATAAAAGCGTCTGCTAAATGGCTTATTATATTGAAGTAAATACTACAGACCAGAGGAGGCTGGTAGGGGGACCTGGAATGGAATTAATGCAACAGAGTGAAACATGTGGTTTCATGTTTCATGTGTACCATTCCATTTATTCCATTTCAGCCATTACAATGGGCCCATCTTCCTATAGCTCCTCCCACCAGCCTCCTCTGCCACGGAAATTCAATGTATAATCTATAGGAGAGATGAGGGTACCCTCTAGTGGTATGAATCAACCTTACATCTCAACAGAAGGAGAGTACACAAGTGTTGCCATTTCATGACATTTCACCGTAATGTCCCTAAACCCAATCCAATAGAGATGGCATTTACCAATATGCATGTTGCACACTGACCTTTTTCTTGACCTATGTTCAAGCCACCATCTGATCTTCATCTAATTGAATAAGCCTAGATCGGATGGTAAAGGCTTCAGTGAATAAAGGGCAAAGTAGCCTATTTTACTATAACCACTTACGAAGTTAAGATTGCAGTCACAGTGCAGTATCACAATCTTTTTTTATAAAGGACAACCTGCAGACGGCTACGCCACAGAGAAACATTTTCAAAAGACCAGGGGTTGGTTGCACCAGATGTAAGTCAAGTTGTAATTTACCCTTTTTCATGACGATTTCCATGTTGTTTTGGTTTCCACATGTTTTGGTTCAACAGATATTTATTATTAGAAATACCTGTGTGGGGACCCAGAGGCAGCTGAGCCCATAGAGATCCTATAAAAGTACTCATTCCTAATTCAATGGCTGAGCACAACAGGTTGCCATGCAACCAGAATCCACCAGTGTGAGCTATTCCCACGGTGATGCTCACTGCGGCAGAGAAACGGCATCTGAAGAGACCAGTCTGTTAATGCTCCAATGATCTCAGTGTAGATCTCATCAAATCTAATAGAGCTGATTTGAAATCGTCTGCTTATTAAGAGTGTCAGACAGTGCTGTTATTAGTTTGGTTGCAGATACTATTCATGTGGAAACACTGTAGACTGTCTAAATTCTTTGACATCAATAAATGCTCCCATCCCAAAAGGTATATAAGTCTAACCATTTTTGCCATGCATACTGTAACATAGTTGCAAAGGTCATGGGGAAAACCTATGCTTCAGGCACATACAGATTCCACCTTCCTGAGGTGGATTTAAGTGGTAGGGATGTGTCTCTACATGCCTGTCTGGAAGGCAGATGGGCCTGACAGAACACTCCAATGCTTCAACTTCTCATAGGCTACTGTATAACAGACATGCACACACGCGTGCACACGCACACACACCTTGGTTTTACCTGAGTATTTAGGCCTGCCTGAGTCATCCTGGTTTTCCCATCTGGAACATTCTTAAAACTGGAGGTGCTAAGTGAAACAGCGATACTAAACCTTCTACAACAATGAGTTTCACACTGACATGAGTCATGCATTCCTTCTACACCCTCTGTTGTATCCCTATGAGAGGTTCCATGTAGCACTGTGTGTATTGAATTATATCCCTCCCTGAACTAACTCTTGAGACAATAGCCACCAAGGCTACCACATACAAAGGCCTCACCCTCTACCCTTCTGCTATGAAAATGTAGCATACAATGGTGATACACAGACATAGTAACCTATTCAGAATAAAGACAATGTTTATTCAAAGCACTTTCTTACCAACCCGGGCCATGTCATGTGCTCCAAAACAGTGTAGTAATACTATATCACAGAATAATGAACACAAATAGAATATACACAACAGAGACTGAAACAACTTCTGGAGTCGTCTCAAACCTCAATGATAGTGTGTCTAAACGACAGAGAGGATGTGCCTGGGCTGTGTGAACGTCCCTCTATCACTGCTCTCTGTGTGTGTTTAGCATGTGTATGGACCTCAGCTGGGGATCAGGAGGGTGTTCCAGACCGAGACAGGGGCCGCATGCGATCAGAGCAGCCAGGATGGAGGGCCTTCGGTGGGGGCATCACACATCAGAGCCCTGGAGCCTCCATCCCACCATCCCCTCCCTCTGCCAATCCAGGCTAACAGGCCGCTAAATGCCAGCCTCATTAGGCCCCATAGGGCCGCTCTCCTGGCCTGAGGGGGCCAACGACCACATAAGATTAGCCAGAGCTGCCTGCCATTGTCAAGGGCAGACACAACTCCCCCCCCCCCCCCCCCCCCCATTTAATACACAACATCAGTCATCAGGAAGGAAGGGACAGAGGCTGGATTATAGGGCCCTCTAACTCTACACCACCTTGGGTAGGGGCGAGAGTACAAGTAAGAAAGTCTATTGATTCTTGTATGAGTTACTCTATTGTGAGTGTACACCGGACTTATCCTATAATAAACTATACAATAACAAAAACGTGTTATATTGGGTGTACTAGGCTACATATGCTTCACTCAAAATGTGAAAGAGCGCACACACACTCAAGGCCACATTTTAGATCTGGTTATCTCTAAAGGTCTCGATATTTCTTCTGTCATGGTTAAAGACATGGCCCTGTCTGATCATTTCTGTGTCTTTTTTGAATCACTTATCACCCCGAATGTTCCAGTAAACTCAGTTTCTGTTAAGAAAAGGTACATTAATGAGAGTACCAATGCTCAGTTTATGGAAGCCATAGCTATCTCTCCAATAATAAGTGCTGAGTCAGTTGATGTACTCCTGGATAATTTTAATGCCAAAATATTGAATGTCATGGATCGTGTTGCACCGGTAAAGGTAAAGAAAACTATGAGCAAACAGAAAACACCATGGAGAACCACCATGATGGTAAGCGCCCT